CCCCGGGGCCCTCGGACGGGGCTGAGGGACACGGGGACCGGTGCAGTGTGAGCTGGCAGATCGAGCTGTACAAAGAGGGATTTATAGGAGAAAAAAAAAGTTTCCCTCGGAGAAAAGCTGGCCTCAGCCACTGGAGGGGCTCAGGCCCGACCCTGCTCCCCCAAGCCAGTAAAAGCTCCCACGGATTACACGTGGGGAGACGTTCTAGCGATGGGTATTTCTCCCTCGATAATTTCCACGTCTCTTCATTAACACGAACCGAGGCCCCAGTGCAGGATGAAAGCGAAACTTACCCGGCCGGTCCGCTTCAAATCGCAGAGGGCCTTATTTCCTTCACGTTTTACAGGAGCAAAAGTTCAAATATAGTTTACATACCAGTGCGAAAGACTGAGGTGTCCAGTCATCGCTAACTTACTCCAGCCTAACTTTAACTAGAAAATACTCTTTTTCTCTCCCCCCCCCCCCCCAAACGCGACATCCTCTTCTCTACAGACATATCTCTGCTTCCAAACGACTGACTGCAGACCTTTCCCGTGTCCGCAACCCTTCCTTGCATTTCTTCCTAAAAGTGCAGTCCTAAATCGGCAAATTAGGTGATGGATGAAGTTTTGATCCCACTTTGAAACCACAGGAGCTGTACAACTAGACAGACGAATTAAGACTTTTTGTAATTCTACTAACCTTCCTGCTATAACATCCTCAGCCATGGAAGGAAATGAAATATGTTATATTGGGACTGAATTTAGGTAGCCCTTTACAAATAAATGGCTATGTATGCTTTTGTGTGTGTATTCTTATATATCATTGCGCATCTATGCTTATGAATACACCACAGGCATTCATTTTTAAAGTAGACAATAATTTAGAAATGTGATCTCTTACGAACTTTGCAACAAAAACAACAAAAATATCAGCTATTTTACAAGCTCATCAGCTCTGTTTCAAATGGCTCGTCTGAGCGGAAAAAGACACTCTCCCTCTGCCATTATTTAAATGCAGTTGCTACTGTGTATATGTATTTTTTAGTAGTGCAGAGAGTAGTAAGTAAAGGCAATTAGCAGCCCGAGCCTCCCGAGTTTGGAAAGAGATTCAAGACCCACTTCTGTGAAGATAAAGGGATCTCGAGTAGCTTTTTAATTTCTGTCCTGTAGTTGCCGATGATTTTATTAGATGGGGGAAGTAAGGAGCTTTTTTTGTTTTGTTTTATGGTAGTTTTTTTTTTTCTTTCTGTAAGAGAGCCCCCTGTGCAAGGAACTGGGGAAAGTTCGTGACCACTCAGTGTTTTTGTAGGAAAACTAAGACTCACGACACGACGACTCCTGCAGCTTCCTGCCCTAGGAGGGACAAAAGCTACAAATGCAGTGCCGCAGAGCTCCCCTCATTTTTCACTGTAGACTGTGTTGTTTAAAAGCCACCCACTCCCTAGATTAAAGGAGACACAAGCCCCGCTGAACTCAACGTGGCCTGCTTCAGTTATTAGCAAAAAGAATTTCCTCTCCAGTTAAATACTGTAGGATTTGCATAAACTATATTAAGAGAGATTTCTATATTAAGCAGACCTGCCCTCGAACCATCAGAGGCAAATGAACTTTTAGCAGAGAGCTTTCTGAGGCTGAAACAGATATCTAGGAGTTACACGCTGGGTTTTAATTCAGCCATTCTACAATGCCGTGTTTCCCACGTTGTGCTACTAAAACTAATAATGAAGCAGTAATAAGGTAAACTGCTCCCTACCAAATCCAAACTGTATTGCCAAAAAATCACAGAAATGGAAAAGAACTAAAAGCCTGTTTTTTACAGTAATCTCCAGAGTGCTTGCTGAAACTGAACTTTCTCAAAGATCAGCGTTAACAGCGTTTTTCTGCCTTTAGAACAAAAATAATAACCGAGCCTTTGGCATCCTGTACCCATTCCCAATCTGCTTGGCTTTACTTTCTCATCCCGTAGCATTTGCAACAAAAAAGAAAGCACAGAATGGGAGGTCTTTTTGCTTGGATTTAATTCTAGAAAACCTCTTCCTTTGACTCTCTCTTTAACATGTTGTGTGTTTGCAGGTCTGTGTGTTTGTGCACATGTGTAAGTGTGTATTTGTGGCAGGAGAACACAGGATCTAACCATTGGAGTGCAATAGATACGGGAGGGGAGCGGTGCCCAGCGCAGATTAAGGGAGTTCTCATTACTGAAACGCTAACTTCCATCTGACACAATAAGAGTGTCACTCTTTCTCACCTTGCAGAGAGAGCTGCCTATTTCTGATCATGACATAAAATACTCACTGGAGTCTAGGCGTTCTCAAAACACTGAGCTCCTTGCTGCATGTGCTGTAGATGTCACTGCTGTCTGATTGTGCTTGAATTAACACACTGTTTTGACTTCTGGAAAACGCCTAAAGGACAATGCAAAAAGCTTTTGTGAATTTGTTTTTAAAGAAAGAAATCCGGTTTCTTCGTGTTTCCATTTAGAAGGCAGAGAGTGTGTGAACTGTGGAGCAACTGCCACCCCTCTCTGGAGAAGAGACGGCACTGGGCATTACCTGTGTAACGCCTGCGGGCTCTACCACAAAATGAATGGTCAAAACCGACCTCTCATTAAACCTAAACGAAGGCTGGTAGGTGTCTCTGTTTCTCCTGGGTTTGGGGATAAATCAGGCAAAGGGACCACACGCAGGCAAAAGTCGAACGCGTCTCATCTCTGCTCAGCCCCTGCGCGGAGCTGAGCTGTACTGTACATGGGGGTCAGTCACGTCGAGGTCACTGCCGTGCCTCGGGGCAGATCTCTCCCCCGCCACCCCAGCCCCGGCATCCCCGGCACAGACCACCGCGCCGCCGCAGCCCGCCGAGCGCGCCTCTGTCCCGAGCCTCCCTGCCGCTCACAATACATGCAGGATATCGTGTATCCGTCTCCCCGTTTATCCTCGGATGACAGCTTTTAATTTAATTCCTCATTTATTTGGCCTCTTGGGACATTTTGGGTGCATAGTGGGAGCGAAAGGGTTATGAGTGTGAATGTCCTCCACCGTGTACTAAAAAAAAGTTCCAGCTCCAAAAAGCAAAACAAATCAGATGAGTCAAAGCTACTGCTCCCTACTTAATAATTATTTGTATAAAAGCCATGAAGTAATTTTCACTCTTATATTCTCTGGCAATATTAATATTGGTTCCCTCCCCAGACAATCCCCTACTGTTTAAAAAAAAAAAAGTCCTATTATTTTTCCATGGAGTCACCTATACTTTGTATTTTCATTTGAGTGATTTAAAAAAAATGTCCTTTCTAAGCTCCTGGTAGTAGTTTCCTATCCGGATATCTGTACGTTAAAGATAAGGAAACTTTGTGTATCTGTTTCCTGACTCTAAAAGCTTTAGAGAGTTTCTATAGGCAAGCCTTGCCAGTCATGCTTGCTGTTTTGAAATTTCTAATACACTCTACTCCACAAATAATGCGTAAAATGCTAAGAATAATAAATATATTTTTTTGGAGCTTTGTGATTTATGGTGCCTAAGTCTCTTAGCTATTAGTGGGCACGTTTCAATGAGGCTTGGAGAGCAGAAAATTGGCATTACTGCTCTAACACTGGGATGGGATACAGAAGATTTCTGTAGTGAGTCAGAATTTCAACTATGCAAGCTTCTTAATCACTTGCCTTCTAAAGTGACTGACATATAGAAAAATGTTAAGACAACAGTGTAACATTATCGTCTCTCAGGCTCAAGTGCTCTCCAGTCTGAATGGGACAGGCCATAGAGTTAAGCAGCATAGTTGAATATCAGTAAGCCATCTCAAATATGCAAACATAGGTCTCCACCTTCCAGTATGTTGGGAGACTGTTATACTTAGCTCACTGAGAGGGGTTTGGGGGGCACTAGAGAGGTTTTCTTTTAGTTTAGTTGTTTTAATGTTTTGTTTTGGTTTAATTGATTTACAGCTTTGTTTATTGCCCCTTTTTCCACTGTAGTTTGCTTGTTTGCGGGGGAGAGGAGATGGCCATCTTTGGGAATTTGTTCATCTGACATGCAATAGCAAAGTGATCATATTAATAATGTCAGCATTTGGAAGTCTGGCATTAATTGTGTTTGGGTTGCATGAGTGTACTTGCAGTAGGGGGTACCCCCTCTTTCTGCCTTTGGCCTGTTCTCACAGGCGAGTAAGGGACTGAAATAAATGAGTCTCCCAGGGCCTGATTCTTGCCTTAAGCTGCTGAGCCGTCCATGAGCTTTGGGAAAGTTACAGAGGGCCGTGGCGTAAATCAGGAGCAAGTGAGAACAGAACCCGGTGCTCCTTTTTGCGAGCCAGGTTGGTCTGCTTCGAGCGGCACCAGCTCCCCAGCGGAGCCAGCAGGCAGGGAAGCGCACAAAGTTCTCATCTGGGAAACCCACCGCTCCGTGACTCTGCTCTCGGCTCACGGAGATGCACTGCACATTAACATGAGCTTCGCTGTTGCTTCACCCTATGGCTCTCAGTGGCTAACTGCAAAAATATCCAGGGAGCAAGGCCCCAGGGAAATTACCACAATTTATATGCATTAGAAAGTAAACTCTGCTAATTTAAGAAAATATTGAGTCCTCAGCATTAATCCAATTGCACAAAATGGACTGTATTTTGATCACTTCCAGAGGCAGGGCTGAAGCTTTCTAATACAAAATTATTTTCCAAAATATGGGGTGCAATTGGTCCGTCCATAACACTTCACATGATAGCATGCTTGCACAAAGAACGTATTATTGTGGGGTCTGCTAGACAAGGGCCCATCCAGAAATTACTGGCTGCCTGCTGTTCTACTTTTCCTGTTCTTGTTTTGGGAGGTGGGTGAATGTTTGGGCATTTTTCTTTCCCCCCACCTTGGTTTTAGCAAAACAATAGTTTTAGAAAGGGTAGTGGATTTGGGGGGTTTTGGTTTTTTGGTGGGTTTTTTTTGCCTTTTTTTTTTTTTTTTTTTAAGAACAGTTGTTTGAGGGCTTGTCAGCCAAGGAACTGAGCAGGGACAGAGGCGGCAGACGGGTCAGCGGAATCATTGCTGCAAGGCATGAAATTTGGTTTGCTAAATATTTAAAGAAAGTTGGAGCCGGTTTTGTTTTCTCCTTTTCACTTGTAAATGGAAACTGAATTTTCAGTGATGGCTCTGATAAATACTGCACCCAGTTAAGTAATGCGGTTGGTTTTCTTTTGTGTCCATCTTTGAAGGGCCAGAGTAGGGGTAAAAATCACATTCTTTAAGATCATTCCCTCTTTTCAAACCCAGTCCCAGCACTGGCACAAACTAAATCGGTCATTTTAAAAAAAAAAAAAAAAAAAAGAAAAAAAAAAGGCAAATGCATTTTCATGACGCATTCTAGAGTCCTGCAAAGGGAAAACCTGAACAAATCAGATGTAGTTTTCCCCTCTAAAATTTTTGTTTGTGGAGTTAGAGATGTTTTGTTTCTCTCTACATCCCCTGCACACATGGTGCCACAGGGCTTGAAGCTGCTTTCCGCATAGGAGAATACTTGAATTTAAACAAAAATCTAACAGCCACAAAATGTAAAACTGACAGGAGCTTTCCTTCAGCCCTGATGCTCTGTAAAATCTTAGTAACTAGTTCTACCCAACCTAAATATTGAGTCCAACTTGACCTTTCTCATGATCTCCCTCCTCCTGCTGATACATTTTTAATTTTCTTTTTCTTTTGGTTAGTCAGCGGCTAGGAGAGCAGGGACTTGTTGTGCCAACTGTCAGACAACCACCACGACCTTATGGCGACGTAATGCAAACGGGGACCCAGTTTGTAATGCCTGCGGACTCTACTATAAATTGCACAATGTGAGTATTTACTCATCTCATGTGTCGTTGCTTGCCTAGCTGGGATTGATGTCTTAACTGCATGGTGCACACTAGGCTTTTATTGGTTTCAGGGTTTTGGTTTTTGTTTTATTTCTTCCCCCGTCTCTAAGGTTCCCCTGGGAAGTGACAGCCATTCTTTGTCGGCATAGTGATGCTAAGTTCAGTGACATTACAATGTATTAGCTTGGCTTCTAACGCTTGGGCAAATCAGGCAAAATAGAGCTACCACACTTTGTTTTAAGTAAGTGTGTTTTGTGTGCTGTTTCCCTCCAGAAACACAGAGGAGATTTGGAATGGGCTCTGTGCAAAAGCTAAGCCCGATGGGGCATTTTCATTTTGATTTCATTTAAAAATTATATTTAAGGCTTTGTTTTATATTTTTTTTAAATAAATTAATCCTAAGGAGGAATAACTTGACATGTTGGAACGTTATTTAAACTGTAAGTAACAGAGGTTACTGGTACAAGATTGCTCATGTCTTAGGACTGAATTTGGGTCAATGTGTGCCTCCTAGTTTGATCTCTTCTGTTAGGAAATTAATGAGGACTGAGGGTAAGCCTACGGGAAAGAGAGTCATCAGCTGCCAAATTCAGTTCAATTTGTTTTTCATGTCTAGGTTTTTTTTGTGTGTGTGGTTTTATTAAACAAATCAATATAAACAAGGTCTGCAGAGAGAAACACCATTTTTTTTTGGCCAGAAAAAGGTCTCCATCCAGGAAAAACACATGGGGGCTGTCCAAATATTTTCATTTTTGCACAATAAGGTCATTTTGTCTGCATGAGCCTGATTTTCTCATTTCTTGCAGGTGAACAGGCCTCTGACCATGAAAAAGGAAGGAATTCAGACCAGGAATAGGAAAATGTCCAACAAATCAAAGAAAAGCAAGAAAGGCTCTGAGTGTTTTGAGGAACTGTCCAAGTGCATGCAGGAGAAATCATCTCCCTTCAGCGCTGCTGCCCTTGCTAGTCACATGGCGCCCATGGGGCATTTGCCACCTTTCAGCCACTCTGGACACATCCTACCAACACCTACCCCCATCCACCCATCTTCCAGCATCTCATTTGGACATCCGCACCCATCCAGCATGGTTACAGCCATGGGATAAAACCTGATGACCAAGAGACCCACCCAGAGATTAAGAACATGGGGCTTTGCCTAAGACGACAACAAGTAAGAAAATGTCCTGCCAAGAGGAGAATGTATGGAATGGCAAAAGGGGATCTTTGTTCCCGTGTGGTTTAACTCTTAATGCTGGACTAAAACCTTGCAAATGATGGGTCTTCTGCAGAAACATGTAGTGGTGCCTGTAATGCACTTTGCCCCCTCAGGTATAAGGAAAAAGAACTCACCTGTTTGATACTTAATCGTCCAGCAGGAAGCAAAAGGTGGCAGAAGCTGAAGGAAAAGGCTTGGAACTGGCTTTCCTTTCTCTCTTTGTTATTACTGTGAATATTGTAAAGAGATATAAGCAGCCTCCCAGGATGGAATCAGCTCACTGGAAGCCAGACATGCTGGATTTCTATCGCGGACTTTGTTTGGGATGGGGAAAAAAGGAAAAAATAAAAAAAAAGAAAAGGACATCTTTATAAAAACGTAATTTTTAAAATGAAATCAGATACAAAGTCATATTTATTTTGCTCTTGTTTTCCACAAAAAGCCTCAACCCCTCTGATTGCATGTTTTTGTGCTGTTGTTTGCCATGGCTACCCTGTAAGAAAATCTGCCTTCAAAACAATGGGGAGAGGGGGGAACATATTCAGCAGCCCCCTTGGATTAGCTCCGTCTATCTTCCATACCAAAATATGTACTAGGAAGGGAGAAAAGATTGGGGGGGGGACACAAAGCAAAAATGTAGCTGTAATATGGGATTTTAATGTGCCCAAGATGGTGATTATTTTGACACAATTTCTTCATTCTTTGCCCTAACAGGAAAGATTTATTAAAAAAAACCAGTCCCCCTCTCAACTACCCTATTATTCCTCAAAACAGACAGCTAGATCAGACAAACTGTTGGGAAAAAACTCTTGGGGAAGGCAATCCTGCACTAACGAGGGGTGAGATACAGGCATGTACCAAACTGTGTCGCAGCTAACTTCTAGCACAGCAAAAACCATCACAGAGCGTAAAAACATCCAACTCGCAGACTTTAGAGGTTGAAGCATTTTGTTCTGTTGTGTTGGCAGCTGTCGCTTAAAAATGCAGATTAGCTGCTTGGGTAAACTTACGGCAGTGTGGCCACCACGTCCACACGCAGCCAGCCAGCGCGTGTGCTGTCTCGGGCATCTAGGCCCCGGTAGACTTCACAGGGAGGAAGGGCAGAAATGAGGTTGAGATCACTGGAGAGGGGAAAGAGAGAGACAATCAGTTTGAGCTTCACGCACCCGTCAAATCCCAGACACAGCGACAGCTAATGAGACAAGGGAAAGCATCGTTCTAAGGGGAACGTCTGTTTTCCATAGCGTATTTTATATGAAAAAAAAAAAAAAAAAAAAAAAAAAGAAAAAAATTTAAATCTCCCATTATAAAACCATATTGTACGTAAATGACCGAAAACAAAGCTATTGCCAATGTGAAGTGTATTCTATTGATTGTTATGATCTGATGCCTCTCGTGAACACAAGCTCCAGTATAACATACAATGTACATATTTAGCTATACTTCTGATGAAAATGCCCCAATGAACAGAGGGGTTTGATAATGTAAACCACGTAAGCTTAACTCTGTGTCAAGCTTTTTTTTTTTTTTAATTTTTAACTTTTTTGTTGTTGGGGTTTTTCTTTTTTTTTTTTGGATCAAGCCAATTGTATCTTTACTGCAAAAGTCCTGCTTTAAAGAAAAAAAACACAAGGAAACAAATAAAAATAGATGTATGTTAATTTTTTTTCTAAACATGTGATTCAGATATTTGATAATGAATTAAGAACCAAGCAGCTATGAAAATCCTGCTTTCCTCCTTTTTCTGGTCTGTGTAGGCATATAGGTGCACTTTGTAAAGAAGTGGAAATAAATGGGAAACTAAATTGGTTGGGATAAATAAGAATTTTTAATCTTCTGAGGTAAAAAATTAGGTCCTTTCTACTTTTTACCTTTTACAATGGTACAGTTGTATGTTATTTGTACCCAACTCAAATTTCTGTAGGATTTGGGCGGGGGGCGGGGAAGGGATGTGGGTGGAAGACAGGGATTACTGATACAGTTGACAAAGTGCAATATATTGTCAGTCACTGCAGCATAGACAACAGCAGTCGAGATTTAAATTATTTTGTACTTGTATCAGCATAAAAAATTTCTGCAGTATTTTCTGTTTTTATTTTAATTTTTTTTATTTTGCTTATTTTTGGATTAGTGAACTAAGTTATTGTTAATTATGTACAACATGTTTATATATTGTCTGTAAAAAGTGTATGCTTTCCTCATATTCCTTCAAGGTGAATATTGCTAAGAATAATAAAATACCTTTTTTGTCAAAGTACCTGTGCCCAGCTTCATGTCATAACGGCTGCTTTTAATAGGGAGAGAGGAAAAATTATCGTCGTCATTGTTGCCAGTAGAATTATTAGCTTAAACTTTATGCAGAGCGGTCTATTGATATTTCAAAAAGCTACCAGGGTAGGACAAAAAAAGTAGTTGGTGAATGATTTAGTATAAAAAGCACAGGTACAAAAGCTTATTCTCCGATGTTGTTTTGGGGTGATGAGGTCATGCCGTTAAGTGTGCTAAAGTTTCTAAATCAGTTTAAAATCTAAGGCAGCAGCCACATTGCAGATGATGAACTGTGGTTTCTCTGGGCTTTTTTTTTGTCGTTTTTTGGGTTCTTATCTTAAAGTGTTTGGAGAAATACTTTTCAATTAAAAACAAGTTTTAAAAGCACCGTAAACGCAGAAAAGCAGCCAGCTGCCTAATGGGTTTCAAGGCAGGGCCTATATTAGACCGGGTAAAGTTCTCCGTAGGTTCTTGCACTGCCGTAACAGGCAACACCGTCAACCTGGAAACCTGTTTCTTACCATTTGGTGTCATCGGTGGCGTGAAGGGAGCAAGGGGGGATGGCCAGCCCGGAGCTGCTGTCCCGGGAACAAGGGGTGCAGCCGTGGGTGCAGAGGCGTGTGCATGTGGGCTGGCACGTGAGGATGGAAAAGAGCGCTTCCCAGGCAGCTCTCACATGGCCAAAACTTTGTGGCTGCTTTCATCACACAGTCAAGTGTGACCCACACAAGGAACTCCCTGAGGACTTACAAAGTGAAGCAAAGTCTTGCAAAGTCCCCCCGCCATGTGTAGGGGTGAGTACTGCTGCTACTAAAACAATATTTTCAAGAAAACTGCTAATGAACTTTGGGTTTCCTCCTTTGACCCCCTGGGAGTTGCGTCTCACTTCTGTGGAAACCAACTTGGGGATAACCCCTTACTCATTAAGAAAAAAAAAACCTGAGTTCCTTTTTTAGCGTGTGTGTGCAAATTCCAGCCCTTTCTATCACTGCTGCTCTTTAGCTGTGCAGCCTCCTCCCCTGCCCTGTTTGCAAGCCCTGCTCGTGAATGACGAGGAGTTGCAGCAGCTCTAGATGTGCTGAAGAAAGCACACGCAACCAGGACGAGGCCTTCCCGCATCATTTCAGATGAGTTAATCATCTCTCTAACTTGTTTAGCGAGGCTTAGTGCAAACACCCATTAAAAAAAAAAAAAAAAAAAAAAAGCAGTTTATAGCATACCGTGCAAGCTTCATTTAAAAAGAAACATGTTCATTTTCAGACAGGTTTAAAACAGGGTTAGAAGTAAACTCAGCCACTCTCCCTCCATATTTGAATAGCTGAGACGAGGAGAGAACGGGAGAACTAACAACATCACTTTAAAATAATTCTGTTTGCTTTGGTTGCACATTACACACCCATTCAGACTTTGATGAGGGCTTACCTTGGTGTTGCCTCTCTGCAGGCATTTCTCCGGGTCGGTCCGATTTGCTCGCAGAATCAGGGCCAAAATCCATCAGTTTGTCGGGAGGGGTGCTGCAGCCCCCTGGCACCCGGAGGAGCGTGCCTCTCCTGAGTGGGGTCTTCAGCGGTTCCTGCAGCACAGATAACAAATAATCCCATGTTTGTCAGGTGGCACTAATCTGTGAAAGATCAAACCATTTCTCTGCAACGTGTGTATCGTGTTTGTCTCCAGACATTTTGCGTAGCGGAAGAAAAACAAACAGCAGGGAATGGAACTGGAGCAAGTGTGTAAAGTTCAACGTAAAGTGTAAGCACAGAGCAGATATCGAGGCAACAAATTGGGATTTACGGTCCTTTCACTACCACCAAACGCTGGGGGACAGGCTTTTTGTGAGGGGGGAACCCTGACATTACTTGCCTTTGGTTCCCGTTGTTGGGATTATTGTTTTAAGCCGTGCTTAATTGTCATGTCTCCACGGCCACATCAAAAGCCAAGAAGATTAGGTTACAGGGAGTGTTTGATGTCAAAATACAAAATAAATAAAAGGAAAGCTGAAAAGGTACCGTATTTTCCATGATGTCTAGTGAGGTTTTTGCCTCAAACATCTCTTTTTTTTAATTATTTTGCAAAGGTTGCACTTTTAGTGACGAGATTTTTTTTACTTACTTCCAAATAATTCCACTGCTTTCCTGCAACAGCTCGAAAGGGTTAATATCCCCTCTTTGATGGCAAACATGGTATAATTAACGCAAACTTCTTAAGTATCCTGGTGACCTGTAGATGGCCACATGAGAATTTTGTTATTTACTGACTTGCCAAGCGTTTATTGCTTATAGCAGGACAAGTGGGAAGCAGGCATTAATTTTGATACTGTTATCTGTGATTGCGTGTAAAGTTCATAGTGGAGAGTGCCTATATGTCAACTGCAATTAAACACTTCCCTATTTTTTTAAATGAATTTCACGTTGGTGGAGGGGGTTGGACTGGCTTTGCAAACTGAAATCCTGCCCATCCGCAGAGCAGGCATGACACAGCCAGACACAGGACAACTTCCCCTTACCTGCAGGCTGCAAAAGAAAACAGTCTGGCGCCATGGAGCATTTGATCCTTGGCTTCTCCACAGAGACAGTCAAATCAGTACCAACTGTGGCAGGGCACAGAGGGAGATTTTGTGGTGTGACATCTCCCCTTGGAAATCAGCCTGAAAAACACCAAAGATGAAGCCAAAAGTGGCTATCAGGTGAATAAGTTAATTTATCACCAACCTGAACTGGATTAGAATGCGTGACCTAGAAGTAAAATGCTTTGTTTAGCCCAACTCCCTGGGCCATCTGGTCCTCGCAAGTAAACATTTTTAAGTGAGATTAAGTGACTGTTCTTTAAGCATGGTGATATGAGTGCAAACCAGGCTGCTCTGGATCTAACAGATCAACCTCAGCCTGGTGCCGATTCAGAAACACCATTTGCTTGAATAGCTTTGGGTGCAATTCTCTGTGGTGTCAGCTTTGCAGTCAATCCTGATTCAGTCTGATGTGTCCCTGTCAGATCCAGAGCTCGTCCTAAATCCAGGGCTCAGATTGCACCAAGGTGCTGCTGGGAGGTCGACAGCCCCATCAGAGGAAACTTAGGGGAGAGACTGCAGTAAGAACTACACTGCATTTGCAGTAAGAACTGAGTTGCATTGCTGAGCACCAAAAGCTCAGCTGAGCAAAACGCAATGGCAG